CTGAATTAAAATCCTAGCCGTATCACTCCTCAGGCCAGGAACTTTGGCAAAGACATAATTTCTAGGAGGTAAACTGGATCTAGATTTTCACAAAGATCTCCTGAATTTAAATGTTGGCAACATTTTAAATTTTAAAAACACTTTGAGAGGGCCAAACTAAACACATTCATGGGCCAGAATCAGTTAGCGAGGCAAAATGAGAGCAAAGTACAGCCCTTGGTACAGTGGGGCTGGAGCTCCATGCAGATGCTAGATATTAATATCATGGTAGCCTTAGACTAGGGTGGAGAATCCTGCCAGTGACCACCTGGGACCCCCTTGAACAGAAAGAGCAATGACACTATATATTATGAAGGGGCCCCCGGCAGACTTCTCTGATTGCCCACACCTGTCTCATAATGCTATGTCCTACTGCCCAAGGACCAACAGGCAGGTAGACCCACACCTCATCTAAGCCACCTCCCCATCTAACCTGTCCTTCATAAGAACATCTGAAGAGCATCTAGGGATTATTCTCCTGGTCGGGGCTGCCCCACTGGAGGCAGTTATTAGGGAACAGATTTTGTGGTAGCTTAATTGGAATAATAACTAGGCTTCAGAGTTCCCTGTTTTGTGAGTAAAGCTTCTTTCCTTTGAACTAAGTCCATGCCAAAGGCCTCCCTGCCTCAAGTGAGCCCCCGGTCACAGTGCCTACCAAAGCCTCAAATGAGTCCGGGCCCCTGCGAGCCAGCCCCACAAATCACCCTTCTCCTTTATCTCAACAAAAGGGGCCGAGAGGACTCCATTTCCAAAGCTCAAACCTGAAGATGCAAAAGCAAGTAGGATGTGGAAGTGCCTTCACGTTGGCCTTTGGTTTTCTCTTTCTATTGGTCCCTCCAGCCTCTCCCAAGAGCAAAGTCTGCTCTGGGAGATGACCTCAATATCACAAGGCACTTACTTTTTAGGGGCAAAACATGAAACCTAATCTATAAAGGACAGTCTAGAAAAGAAGCATCTCCTTTCCCTGCCATTCACAACTCCTACAGTACCCCCAAAAGTGACACAGGCTGGAAGCTGTCCTTCAGGACTGTGTGTGCCCTAGAGCACCTTCAAAGGGGCCCGGTCTCTCTGTGCATCTTCCACCCCACAGCCAAACCCTGGCAGGAACCATGGGCTCGCCCCCAGAATACACTTTTTCCCACCTTTATTATTACCACTCCCATCTAAACCCATCTTGAGTCTTGCCTGGACCTCTTGCTCATTCCCTAGCTTTCACCACTGTCCCCCCATAATCCAGGACTCCACACAGCAGCCAGAGTGATCTTTAAAAAGCATGAATCAGATCACAGCATGCCCCTACTGAAAATCTTTCAAAGGCTTCCTCCTGATCAAAGGACCATTTGCAAGCTCCTGACCACAAGAGCCTACACAATCTGGCTCCTGCCCACTTTGACAAGTTCACACTGACCATGATCCCCTTCCTCACCACTTTATAGCCACATGGGCCTCTTTTCATTTCCTCGAACAAGCCAAAGATTCCAGGCTTCGAGACCTGGCACAAGCTGTACCCTCTGTCTGGAATGTTTCATATGGTCTATGCATGTCTGACTCTTTACTCTCCAGGTTTGGGTTTAAGCATCACCTGTGTCACCCTATCTAAAGAACTTGACCATGTAGTCACTCAAGGTCTCCAGGGCAACCATCACAGTTGTGTTGGCTGAGCTACTTGTTGGCTGTCCTCCTTGTGAGTGTGTAAGGAGCATGTCTGTCTAGATCCCTGCAGGAGCCCCAGCAACCCCATCACACGGCAACCAGTTCATCATAGGGAGTGCTGAGTGTGCTCTAGTCCCCTTCGGAAGTGTCGGAACTACACAGCCCAGCTGGCCTGCCTGTGTCTTGCAGGAACAAACACCCCAGCCCAAGATTCCGTCCTATTTTCACAGCCTGCCTTCCCTGTCTTGACCTCACACATTTTCCACGAGGCTTTATTTGGTTGGGCTCCTGGCTAATGATCAATGTCAACTCAGTAATAGAGCAGCAATTTGGTGGCAGATGTTTTCTTGGCAGCCCTAGCTATTGGTCTTAGTGGGGGCCTCAGGTCTGGCCTTGGAACACCACCACCCAATGCCAGCCCCCTTTAAAGACTTCTCCGCAAATAAACTCAAATAAACACCCTGGGCCTCCATTAACGCCCTTCCAGCTGACCCTGGGAACAGTGGGCCTTTCAGGTCTGCTACTGCAGTCCTCCCTGGGCAGTTAAAACACCCCAATCTGGCCTCCGGCCTCTCCTCTCCAGGGGCCACTAGGCCTGCCCTGCCCGCCACCACACACAGCAGGATTTCGTCCTCCTCCTTAAAAAAAGGGGGAAAGGGCTTTCAAGCAGGCAGTTTACCATTCCAGACACAATCTTTCAAAGAGAAACAAAAACTCTCCCTGTCTGAGGCAGACCGCTAAGGCGTGTGTGTAATAAGATGCTAATACAATTTAATGATATTTCGGCTGGAAAACCTGTCCTCAGAGCCTCCTTGTGTCGGGAAGGCCAGACATTCAGAAAACAAGAGCTGCACACTTTTAAAACCGCTTGAAACGGGGGTCAGAGCCCCACTCTTTCCTATCTCTCATTAACTTTAATGCCTTCTAGGGGACAGTAAATTGCAGTTACAAAAATGATTTTGTGCACACGGGGTAGAGAGCTGCTGCCTGCAATCCTCAACCCTGCTTCTCCAAGGCAAGGGAAGCTCAAATCTTCTAACACCATCGCTGCCCACCTGCAATTCCAAGTGTCCTAGAGAGACCCAGCTTCCCTAAAATGTGCTGCTTACACCCACCCTCCAAAGAATGAAAGGGACTTTGCTTTTAGTACTTCCTCACCCTATTCTTCACCTCAGAAAGGACAAAGCTCCATTCCTTTGCTCCAGGATCTGGTTGCCCAGTGGCATCTGCAGGATCCTTCGGACCTCTTCTTTAGAGAAGGGAGCTGGCTCTCTGGCCTAGCCTAAAGGTGAGAGAACAGGTCAAAGCTGCATTGAGACCCTGCCCAGGTCATTAGTAATAACAGTAAGAATGGCTAATGCTAATCAAGTGCTTACCACATGCCTAGCTTTGCGTTTTAGACTTTTTTTCCCCAGTGTTGGGGCCTTGCACATGCTAGGCAAGCACTTTACCAGTTCTGGGCTGAGTCCTCCCCCACCCTCTTTTTTCTTTTTAGTACTGGGGAGTGAACCCAGGAGTGCTTTGTCACTGAGCTACATCTCCAACTCTTTTTATTTTTTTTATTTTGAGATAGGGTCTCACTAAATTGCTGAGGGTCATACTAAATGTCCAGGCTGGTCTCCTTGTGGCTCAGCCTTGGGAATAGCTGAGTTGATGGGATTACAGGCCTGTGCATCTTAAGTCTTTTTGAACGGGATCCTCAACTGTTTCAATCCCATTGGCAGATGAAGAAACTGAGGCCCAGAACCATTATCAAAGCAGATGATCGGGCAGCCAGGGTTCAAATCTAGGCTGTGTAACTCCAGAGGGGATAATCCATCCCCAAAAGGTTAATGTGAATATATAGATCTCCAATTTGCAGAGTTTGGGTAGGGTTATTCTCTAGTACTGAGAGGAGGACGATCTAGAGCCCCAGGACCAACCTCCCTGGGGTCCTAAGTTTTTAGTTGGGACCTGCAGTTGTAAGCTTTTGAGCCACATGGGTGGGGGGGGCTAAGTGGGGGGACATGGTAAGGCAGGGGTAAACTCTCCTCAATTCTGATCTATTAAAAAAACTGTCAGGTTCCCAAGCAACCTACTGCAAGGGAATCTCTGACCTGGGTAATGAGCATAAAGACAACCACCTCCCTATTAACAGAAACAATGGTTATAACCAGAACACCCTGCCCACAATCTCAAAGATGTAGCAGTCAGTGTCAGAAACCTAACTTCAAGACTCCAAAGTGCATGTGGGGCCTGAGAAGCAGCAGTCATCACCTGTCAATGAGAGCTAAGTGGATGGGATTTCCGACAGTCTCTTCCATGTATGTTACTGGCCATCTAACCAGGCAATTTAAGGAAAGGAAAAGCATGTTGGATAGGAAAACATTCTGGAAACATCTGCTTCATCCAGAGCCCAAACAACTCAGTCCTTAAACACTTCATCTCCAAAAGTGCTGGGAAGACCCTTGGTCAAACAGTTGCAAAACCAACATTCTCTGCTTGAGGTGAGGAGTTCCCTCTGAGAGGCATTTGCTGGGGAACTAAATGCTTTTCCACTCAAAACAACAGCCAGCAGCACTTGGGACAACTGAGAAGGCTCCAGATCAAACAAGCTTTCCTTTTTTTTCCCCCTACCATGCTAACTTTCTCAATAAATTATTCGCCCACTTCGGATCAAAGCCTGTTTTTGCAGCCTGTGACCTAAAAAGCAAATAGCATCGCTTAAACATGAAAGCCCTCCTCCCTGCCTGGGTCAGCTTTATTACTCATTCCTTCCCCCCTTACAGTTATTCTGTTGTTATTTTCCTCCTCTGCTTGGTAGATCTCCCTGCGAGTCCCAACCCGCCTGAAGAAGACAGGAGGGATAGTGCATTCGTTTGGGGCCCTAAGGTGAGAAAGGAAGTCAGGGTACCGGAGAACCCAGCACTCTGGGAACCCAGGAAACAGGGCCAGGCCCGGTTGGCAGATCTCTGCCTGGCCCTTTTGCCAAATGTCCTACTGGGAATTTTACCAGTGAAAAAGGGAGTCAGTGCCACTCTGGAAGGAGGGGCCAGGAGATCCTACCACCTCCCAAGGCCGGGGACTAGATTTGCAAACATAAAAGTTTAGGGATTATCCAGTTTATCTGGGCTCAGGGGTCCTCTTTCTTTCAATGAAGGGGCTCAGACCCTTCTAGATCCTTTGGCACTGCTCTGGATACAAACATGACCCCTCTTGATGACCCCCTACAAACTGCCTCTGGATAAAACTTTGTGCCTTGGAACCCTAAAAGACCAGCCGGGGTGCTATATGCAGGGGTGTGGTTTAGAAATCTGCAGAGACCAAGGATGCGGGTTGCAAACTGCCTTTGGCAAAAGAAAGCTGGCGCCCCTCCCCCTCCCCCAGCACGAGGTTGGCGGCCAAGCCCGTAAAAAAAAGTGCCCCGGCCCGGCGGCAGTGGCTAAGGGGATTAGAAGGGGGCTTGTGCGCGCCTCTAGCCCGCCCCTGGAGGCAGTACGCGGGACCGCAGGCTGGAGGCGCGCCGGCGTGATTCCGACCGCGGGAGCCTGGAGGAGGAGCCGGAGGTAGCTGCGGGGTGCTCCAGCCCAGGCGAAGGAAGGGCAAGAGGCGGTTCGGACCCGGGGCGGCGCCGGGAGGTGGGTGGGCTTGTCGCCCCTGGCGGGGGAGGGGTCTAGAAGACTCCGGGTAGGGCACTAGAGACCCAGAGGTGGGGGTTGGGGAGGGAGAGCGGGGCAGCGGTGTGTAGTAGGGGACAGGGTTGGGGGGGGGGGGCTGGGCCTCTGGAAGCTAGAGTGAAGGCTTCCTGCCTGTCTCACAGACATCCTCATCCTCCGGCGGAACAGCTCCGAATGGCCAAGCTGACCCCCTCTCATCCCTTGGCCTGAGAAGGGGTGCCTCAAGACCCAGGGATGGGCGGGAAGGGACCATGGGGAGCCACAAGTCTGCACCCAGGCGGGGAGAAGGCGGGAGGGAGCCGCTCCGCAGGCGCAGGCGAGTGGGTGGGAAGGAGGGAGGGAGAGGGAGGAAGGAGGTGAGGCCGGGAAGATGCCACTGCCGGGGGCGGGGCGGGGCCGGGGATCCGGCGGAGGGACTGCAGCAGTGCTCGGTGGGGGCGGGGGCTGCAATGTCGCTCATTTGGGGGTCAGGTGTGTGCATCCCAGCCAGGGTCTGCTGCCAGTCAGCACCTTCCCCATATCACCCAGGGCCTAAGGGCGGAGGCGGAGGGCAGGGGACTGCGGAGCTGTCCCTGGAGCGGGACGCGAACCGGCAGAGTTGGGAGAAGGTAAACAAGGGCCACGCCCCCTGCCGTCGCCCCGCGGGCGCGCACCCGCCGCTCCGGCCGCCGCCGGTACATTTCCACTCTCCCAGCGCTTCTCCCCCGCCGGACTCCCGCGCAGCCCTGGGGGTGGGGGGGCCTGTCCCCGACCCCAGCCCGAGCCCCAGGCGCCAAGGCTGCGCACCCTCCACACTCACCTGTAAAGGGTGTCCCCCGACCCTCCAAAAAAAAAAACCTGTCTAATTTGTGCAGAGCCTCTGAGCCCAGGAGCCGAGCATGCTGCCCCCGCGTGCAGCGCCCGCGTGCACCCAGCCCGGAGAGGGGGCGCCGGGCGGAGGCGGTGGCCCCCGGAAGGTGTCTGGGACCGGACCGGCTGCACGTGAGCCCAGCGCCGGGTCATGTGCACCAGCTCAGCCCGGTTCGGCGGCTGGACGTGCTGCGTATCAACAAAATGAAACTCAGGAGGGCAGATAGCTCCAGGTTCTCCGAATCCCCAACCCCGGACGCTCGGCCTCCCCCCGCACCCCTCTCCCGCCGCAGCCCCTCCAACCGGCCGGAGCCCGCGGGGCAAGTTGCAACCTCCGCGCGCCCCCGCCCTCCCGCGCCCCCTCGCCGGCCCAGGGGCGCTTTGCCGCAGTCATTAATAAAGAAGGTCGCCAGGCTCACCCTTCCAAAAGTTGTTGTTGCATGCGCCCCTCTCAGCCTCCCCGCACCGTACTCTTTAAACGACTGACCAACATGCGCAATCTCTCTCCCTAGTGCTGTGCATCCCCCCCACCCCCCGCGCTGGCTTCCTAGAACAGGCAGCCAGCAAGAGAGAGAGGGAGCGAGCGAGCAAGCAAGAGAGAGAGCGAGGAGCGCTGGCAGATCTGTTGCAAAAACACAAAATAATGCCGTGGAGATGCGCAGGGCCCAGCCACCGGGGGCTGGATCTTACCTTGCTCCGCGGTGCCCTCCCGAGGGGCGCTGCCCTCGGCTACGCGCCGCGGCGGGGGCCGGCGCGGGAAGGATGCTCCCGAAACCAGGAGCTCCTGGGGCCGGCGCGGGAGGGCGGGGGGCGCGCATCCATCCGGGGTCGTGGCGAGGGAGGCGGCCGTGCCCGCGGCGTCCCCAGCCCCGCGCTCCTGCTGGGGACGGTTAGCCCGCCAGACTCGAGCTGGTGCCGCTAGGAGTGGGAGCAAAGTAACTCCATGGACGCTACTCACCCCCCCAAAAAATAGCCTCCAACTGCGATGGCCGCGGTCGGCACCATTCACCAACCCCCTGTGTATGTTTCTGTTTCTTTTTAAACCAAGACTTCCTTGTGATCTCTTTAGAAAAAAAAAATGTGTTGGGGTGGGGGTGGGGTGGGGGCGGGCAGGAGGAGCGAGGGAGGGGGAGTAGCCACTTTTTTCTTATTCACTCGGATCTCCGCTCCCGACACCCCCCGTCACCGCCCCCCCCTCGCCCAGTTGTTTGGCTCCCGCGGCGGTTCCAGGTAGTGTTGCGGGCCCCAGGGGGGGAGGGTGCCCTGCCCGGCCCCGGCCTGCCTGCAGCGGGGCCCCGACTCAAGCACTCTGGGGCGCCCCCAGCCCGCCCTGTCCCCAGGGCCGGGCCCGAGCGGCGGCTGCGCCCGTGCAAGTCCCATCAGGTCTGCTCACACTTCACACACTCACACACATACCCCGCCCCTCCACTCTCTCACTCACACTTTCTGCTCACACCCCGCCCCCTTCGCGCCCCAGACCCGGGCGGCGCCCCCCGCAACCTTAAAAAAAAAATAGCAAGCTTATACTTAAAAAAATCTTTTGGCGCCATATTAATGACGTACTTAAAATTTGCCATTTCTCCCTGCGTCAAAAAGACGTTTCTTTGCAAATAACAGCCTGGAGGCGACACTCGCGGAGGAAACGAGGTTTGCACTGAGCACCCCGCCCCCCGGGACTCCAGCGCTGGGAGACCCTCACCCTCGGCCCCGTTTCCGAATCGCTCGTTTTAAAATGTGAATCGAATAAATCGCGTGGCGTTTTACAGCGCCAGAAGTGAGCAGAAAGTGCTGGCAGGAGCGGAGGGGAGGGGCGCGTACTAGTCTGGGGGAGGGGGCGCAGCCTTCCTCGCCCACCCACACCAAATGGAAACTAACATCCCGGGCAGGGGAAACTTGAAATTGTAGGCGACCTCACGAAAAGAGGGGCGGTCCGTAGAGAGGGTCCCTCTAGGACTCGTCGCCCCCTCCCCCCTCTCGGGTGCCTCCAGGCGCCCGGAGCTGCCCCGTATTTCCGGAGGGTGAAGAACGCGGTGATGGGTGGTTGGGTGATTGCACGTCCTGGGTCCAGAAGGAGTTTGCCTCGGCGCAACCCCTTCCCTTTTGCTCGTCCCGCCCATTCCCCTTAAAGGGTTAACAACTGAGGGGCAACTTCCAAGGGCTGGCACTTGGCTAAGAAGCGGGGCTCCCCCCTCCCCACCCTTCGCCTCATCGCCCCTCCTCCGCCGGCTCCACTTCCCGACTTGACCTTGTGGTGCACAAACAGTGCGCTTGGATCCTCGCAGTTTCTGGAAGAAGAGCCTGCGCTCGCCAGGCGGGCGGGCTGTCGGGCGGCTAGCCGGCGGTGGCGGGGCCTTGGGTCGGTTCCCAGAGCTGCGGACCACACCCACCTAACCCGCTGCGCCCGCCGCGCTCACCTTCTCTCTAGGAAGGAGAAGGGCTTGTCTCTTGGATGGGGAGGGTTGGGGGCAACCTTCAGCCTCCTCGAAATGCCTCAGCCAGCGAAGTAGTCTGGCCTTGGCTGGCGGTTTGGGGGAGATCCGGGAGGCTAGCCCAATATTCCCATGGCATGGTTGCCAGCTTTTTCTCCACCCCACCCCACCCCCGCTCTCTTGGCTGCCCCTCCAAGATGATCCAATGATTTTTGCAACTCACCTTTTGGTTTTGAAGGCATGTGGGTGAGTTGTGAATCCCTTTCCCTCTCCAAGACTGAAGGTTGTTTATTCTTCCTTTTCCCGCCACCGACTTCCATGAAAACATAAATATTCAATTTACATAAGATGACATTTATGTGACAATTAAGAAGATTCCCCCATGGACTGTTGTGAACACATTTGCTTATAGGAGAAATAAATCTAATAATAAACAAACTCATAATAACAGCTCAAATCCGACAGGGCGGATTGTCTACACAACAAAGAGGGAGATGATGGGTGCTGAAATAAGCACTTTTCGCAACAAGAAAGAAATATGAGCTCAAAGGGAGTCACTGCAACATTTCTCTTCTGTGGCCTTCATTCACAAAGTATGAGGCAGCTTATCTGGCAAGAAGAGGGGACTGGGTGCCACCTCAAAGTTAGACCTGGCTCCTGCTCACAGTGGTCAGTTGGTAGGATTTTCCCAGGCCAGGGTCAACGCCTGAAAAGTGTTGGAGGCTAGGAGGGTTCAATTCCTGACTTTGCAGTTGAGAAGCTGTGTGATCTGGGTCAGTGGATTCATCTCTCTAGGTCTGTTTTACCTCTTCCTATAATGAAGTGGTGGAAGATTCCTGAGGCCATGTGTGCATATATACATATATGTAAATATGTATGTATACATGCTGTGTGGGTAAAGCAGAACCAGACTCAAATGCATTGTGCACAGAGTACTTTGACCCTTCCCCCTTTTTGTTTGTTGGTATTTGGTGCTTGAATTAAACCAAGAGCCTTGCACATGCTAAGCATATGCTCTACCACTGAGCTGTCACACATACCCTCTCCTCTCTTACCTTGTGCCTACATATTTTGGGGAAGGGTGAAAGCCCTCTTCAAAAGCACTACACACCTGAAAACAGCAGGATGATGATTTCTGTCTTTCCCTCTATGAGGACGGGTATAGGAACTCCCAGTGTGGGTACAAGGAGGGTCAGGAAAGGAAACTGTGATAAATGGTGGGCTTCACTGTCAAGGTCCAGATAACAGTCTCAGTCACATGTTGGAGGTCGGGGATCAGAGTGGTGGCATCAATTTATAGAGGCAGTCCTAAAGGGGGCTGCTCTGGTTGGATCAAGTTGCAGGAGGTTAACATGCTTTGGAAGACAGGACACGGCCCTTCTCCTAGCCATCAGGAGCTGAACTTGAATGGGAAAATGCATTGGCAAGCAGTTATAAAGTGACCTGCTGAGGTGGAAGAGGTTGTGGATGATCATTTAAAGAGCACCTGCTCTATACTGCACCCTGTGGGGGCCATTCCATTTTATCCCCACAAAAATCCCATCTTGCCGGGCGCGATGGCGCATGCATGTAATTCCAGCGGCTCTGGAGGCTGAGGCAGGAGGATCGTGAGTTCAAAGCCAGCCTCAGCAATGGCGGGGCACTGGGCAATTCAATGAGACCCTGTCTCTAAATAAAATACAAAATAGGGCTGGGGATGTGGCTCAGTTTTTGAGTTCAATCTCCAGTACCAAAAAAAAAAAAAAAAAATCTTTTCAGAAAGTTTAGTAACTTACCAACAATTACATAGCTAGTAAGTGGTAGCTGACCTATAGGGTTGCCAGAAATAAAAAGTATTATTATATTATTGATTTGATTGGAGTTGGGGGAGTCTGATAGCTACCTTGGCAAGAAAGAGTTTTATGAGTGGCACTTTGCATCAGAGATAGTTCCTGACATGGAGTGAAACCCAGGCCCCCAAAGCATCCTTGGAAAACAGGACTGGAAGCCTATTCAGAATGCTAAGAAACCTGCAGCTCTGTGCCACTGTTTAAGGTTAATATTGGAAGTTAATAAAATTATAGTGATGAAGATAATTATAACTCCTTAATCTTTATTAAAAGTCTCACCAATCATTCATTAACTTTTTTCAGGAAAAAAAATGAGAAGACACAGGTCATACAGATTTAATCATTACTTATTTTCAACAAGTACTTATTGAGTGACTTCTGTATGCCAGACACCACACTAGAATGTGTCACCATTTGACAAGTGCCTAGTGTCTGTTTCTAGTGGAAATAGCAATAAATAAATTAAAAATCTATATGTTTGAAAATAATTAAGTGATGTAGGGAAGAATTAAGCAGAAAAGGGGAATGGAGAGAGTAAGGGTATAATTTTAAGTAGAATGGTCAGGGGAGACCTCACCAGGAATATGATTCTTAAGCAAAAGGAGAAGGAGTGAGTTGTGTGGGACAGTATATGTGAGTAAGGGTACATTGAAAGCATAAGACCATTCTAAGCCCAGGCTTCTTAACCTGGACCCCATGAACCCTCCCTTCCAGAGGTCAATGGGTAGAACTCAGGGGGTCAGCACCTTTTATGAGAAAAAGAATTGCATCTTTATTTTCACTAATTAAAACATAGCAGTTCTTCAATTATGAATGCAGATAACAAATCAGTGATATTAGCAGCACCTGTGACACTGCTGCTAGTAAAAATCACAGATATTTTCATATCACATTACAGTTGTTGAAAATACCTTAAAATATTACATTCATCACTACCTCAACATTATGCTCCAATTTAATGAATTAATAAAGCACATATATTACTATATTATACATTTAAAAATATTTTTGAGAGTAGTATTTCAATAAAATTGGTTTTCTTTGTAATTTATGGAACTTTTTTTAAAACTGGATTTAAAGATCTTAGAGGAGCTGGGGCTGGGGCTCAGCAGTAGCACACTTGCCTAGCATGTGTGGGGCACTGGGTTCGATTCTCAGCACCACGTGTAAATAAAAAAAAACTAAAGGTCTATCAACAACTAAAAAATAAAAATAAAAAGATCTTATACTCAGAAAGAGTCCACCATACAAAAAAGGTCAAGAACCCCTGTCCATCCCTACACAAAACAGCAGGTGCAAGGGCTCAAGGCAGAAGCATGCTTACAATGTCAAAGGAAGAGGTCACCCAGGACCCTGTAAGGAACTTGGATTTGACTGAAGTGATATGAGGGGGTTGTCATTGGTATCATGAATGACATGATCTGACACTGGATTTTACAGGTCACTCAGCTTTCATACAGAGAGCAGACCAAAGTGGGGAAGGCTGAAGTCGAAGGATGTATGGGAAGACATGTTGATTCACTCACCAAGTGAGGGAAGATGTTACCTTGGACCAGAGTGGCAGTGGTGGAAATGGTGAGAAGTGGTCAAGTTCTGTGTATATTTTGGAGAATTTGCTTATGGAATGTGAGAGAAAGACACTAAGGATGACTACAAGAGTTTGACCTTAAGCCCATGGAAGGATGGATTGCCATTGGCTAAGGCAGGGGAAACTGGAAGGAATACGTTTTAGAGGAGGATAAGGAGCTCATTGTTGGACATATTGAGCTCGAGATGCCTGTTTGACATCAAGTGCAGCCATCCCACAGGGAGCTCAACATGGCAGCCTTAGTTTGGGGCAAGGTCTTGGCTGAAGATATTATTTAAGAATTATCAGCAGGTGGATGGTATTTAAAGCTACAGGAGATCATCCAAGTATAGAAAGAGAAGGGACTCAAAGATGGCTGGAAGACAAAGAGGAATCAGCAAAGATGTCATCAAAAAAGAAGCATCTAGGGACTGGGATTGTGGCTCAGTAGTAGAGCACCCACCTAGCACATGTGAGGCGCTGGGTGTGAATATATAAAAAATCTCAGCACTACATGTGAATATATAAAAAATAAAGGTATTGTGTCCACCTGCAACTAAAAATAAATAAATAAAAAGCATCCAAAGAGATAGAATGCCCTGGAAGCCAAGGGAAGCAAGAGTTACAGGAGGAAAGAAAGCCCTACGTCCAAATCTGCAGAGAATCAAACATTAGGTTCAGAAACATGGAGGTCAATGGTGACCTTGATAAGAGCCATGTCAATGGAATGGTTCAAGCAAAACCTTGATTGGACTGGGTTCAAGAAAGAGTGGCAACATTTACAGTTGCTATCATGTGTTCCAGTATGCTACTAAAAATAAGATAGCCAGGGCTGGGGTTGTAGCTCAGTGGTGGAACACTTGCCTACCACGTATGAGGCACTGGATTCAATCCTCAGTACCTCATAAAAATAAATAAATAAAATAGAGGTATTTATTATGTCCATCTATAACTAATATATATATATATATTAAAGAAATAAGACACCCTTTGTATGTTTGTGAATATGTATAGAACAGTATAACCACGTAGCTGTAGAAATTCAACTTAGACAACTTTTAGTGAGGATCTTTCTGTTCCTTAAGCATGGTAAGGGATGTTCTGAGAGAAATAAAGCACACTTGACTGCCTTCCGAGTCTATAAAATTTTGTTGACAAACGAAATGTACACAAAGCCATATATCTGGCTAAATACACATATCAGCCTGACTATTAGTTTTGCCAGTGTAACAGACAATATGATGAAAACTATGCATTCCAGAGTTAGACAGTCCTGGGTTTGCATCCTTCCTTGACCATTCAACAGCTTTATGACTTTTCATAGATCAGTTATCCTGTCTGTGCCTCATTTTTCTTCTCTGTTAACTGGGGATGAGTCATTTCCAAACTTCATTGTGCTGGGGAATGGTGATGCTCAGTAAAAATGTAGACTTCTAGACCTTATCCCCAAAGGCTCCCAGTGGGCAGGTCTCCAAGACCTGTCCCAGGCATCTGTATTTTTAATAAGCAGCTGGTCATTCTTGATGCCCTTACCCATGAACCACAGTTTGTGAAACACAGACAACA